CAGTCATCCTTCTTTTGGAGGACTGCAAAAGACTGGAATACTAAAGATCTAGAAAAAGTCGTTTCCATCAATTCTCTCAAAACCTTTAAAAAGGCTTTAAAAGAACATCTTCATCTTTAGTCGTTCTTTGTTTTTCATCATTTGTAAGCAAGATGAGTGTAAGTTAGCGGAGGAAGAACAGTGTGACAGCGTAAAGTACAACTTATATGTAATGCACTCATCTTGCCTCAAAAATTAGTGTGAAAAGTATTTCTCTCGCTATTTTTAGTTGTTTGGTCATGATAGGCACAAACTTTGAATTCCATGTTTATTTTTTCTGTTGCAAGTCATTCTTATGTTTGAACTTTTATTATGTACCATGGTATGTTACCAAAATAAAAAGAAAGAAAGAAAGAAAGAACACCATCAACGAACACCTGTTGGTCAATCGGAATAAATTCCAGAGCTATCCCAGTGTTGAATTTCCCCTCACTGACAAAACCATTAACGAACATATGTTGGTCAGTGAAAATAAATGCCATAGCTATCTTACTGTTGAATTCGCCCTCACTGACGAACACTATTAACAAACACACCTTCGTCAATGAGAATAAATTCGAGAGCTATCCTGCTGTTGAATTCACTATCACTGAGGAACACCATTAACGAACACGTCTTCGTCAATGGGAAGAAATTCGGGTGTATTTATCATCAGCCATTTATAACATACATTTATAATATTTTCAACAGGTATCCAACTCCTGAATTCACTCTCACTGACGAACACCATTAACGAACACATCTTCATCAATGGGAAGAAATTGCATAGCTATCCTACCGTTGAATTGATGTGTTCGTTAATGGTGTTCGTTACTGAGATTGAATTTAACAGTAGGATACCTCTCGAATATATTCCCATTGACGAAGACGTGTTCGTTAATGGTGTTTCTCAGTGAAAGTGAATTCAACAGTAGGATAGCTCTCGAATTTATTCCCATTGACGAACGTGTGTTCGTTACTGCTGCTCGTTACTCAGTTGAATTTAACCGCAGGATAGCTCTCGAATTTATTCTCATTGACGAACACCATCAACGAATACACGTGCGTTAATGGGAATATGTTCGAGAGCTATCCTACTGTTGAATTCACTCTCACTGACGAACACCATTAACGAACACATCTTCGTCAATGGGAAGAAATTGCATAGCTATCCTACCGTTGAATTGATGTGTTCGTTAATGGTGTTCATTACTGAGATTGAATTTAACAGTAGGATAGCTCTGGAATTTATTCCCATTGACGAACGGTGGGTCGTTAATGGCGCTCGTTAGTAAGAGTGAATTCAACAGCAGGATACCTCTCGAATATATTCCCATCGACGAATATGTATTCCTTAATGGTGTCCGCCAGTTAGAGTGAATTCAACCGTACTATAGCTGTCGAATATATTCCCATGGACGAACATGCGTTCGTTGATGGTGTTCGTCAGTCAGAGTGAATTCACTCAATGGTAATAAAATCGTCAATGGTAATAAATTCGGCTGCTATGCTACTGTTGAATTCATCCTCAGTAACGAACACATCTTCGCCAGTGGGAATATTTATTTGTTTTCTTTTCGACAAAAAATTCAATTTCTTTCGCTCTTTCCGACCGAATCTAGAACTTTTATTATGACAGTATAATTTTGGACCGGTTCATATTTTTCAGGTTTTTCACAAACTTCTAAGGGTTGAAACTTTTATATTTAATTATTGCCACTCTTTTGTTCGTTCTCTAATTCATAAAACTGTGAGATAACAAGTCGCTGTAGTTTGAATGGTTCTGTTTAAATTGTGTAATAGAGTAAATTGAGCATGAATAATCGATTCTTATCTTGTAATGACTCAAAATTTCCAACCGTACTTCCTCCTCAATGGAAATTTCCATTTTAGATAGTTGTGAGTATTTCGATAAAGTATAAACTATTTGAAAATATAAAATTAGCAACTGTCTTCAAAAACATTCACTGTGGTAAAAGTAGCCAATTGCTTAGTGAAAAATTTGTTTTTGCACGGCAAGAGACGCATTCATCAAATCAGTGTATTGGGTAAGATGATAATCAACTAAAAAATGCAAAAAACACTAACTATTACAGGTTTTGTCCGAAAAACTAATGTCAGCACTAGACCGATACAGGCCCGGTTGTCAGTTGAATAGCTCGAGAACAAAAGTAACTAGAGAGGTTATTTTTTTTTTGCCGATTGACAAAGGACATTGGGTAACGTGCTTCAATGAAAAACTGATTGGTTAAGAAAGTTCAGCAGTTCTCCGTTTCTACTAGAAAATTTATGAAAATGTATCAAAAATTTCATACTTTCGGCATTTAACTTGGAAAAAAATTGATTTGATCCTCCAGGCATGCATCTGATACTGCACCTCTACGAACCGAACCCAGGGACAAAATCTCGGGGTCATCTATTTATTAAAAGAACGGTAGACCTTTGATGTGATACAAAGTTCACGATTTAAGAGCACTCCTTCCCTTATGGAGTTTCTCGAGAACGGCTCAATGAAAAATTCTGAAACTTTCAGGCAGATAGATCTCGAGTAGTAGAGTAAAAGTTACATTAGACCCAAGTTTTCATAGTACTTCCTTCAATTAGATATTGGGACTCCAATGGGTCAAAATGACCCCACTTTTCACCTGCGTTTCTCCAAGATACTACGTTCGATCGAGCTGAAAATCTTTCACAGGTTCTATTATAGTTTCTTTCGTTCTAAGGTCATTCAACTTATAACTAAATATCTTCAAGTCTGACATCGGCAATAGTTTTTCATTCAATTTTCTATTGAATAATGAGAAAGATAAACAGTAATAGGTGACTTTAAAAAAAGGAAATTGACGCATATTTGTACACTTTTTTTCACAAACATCTAATAAAATAAACAGTATTTTTTGATTAAAAATTCCTATTGAACTATTTTCTAATGATAGTTTATTGTTCATTACAACATAAACTGATTATCAATAGTTCTTTTGAAATTTAACAGAATTTTGGAAACGAATTCTGTAGGTGAATCGATCATGACTCAGTGTACAATGGCATTACCAAATGCACAGGATGAGTATTTATGGAAAAAGCTGACATCGAACGAGGTGAGAAGTATTAACTGCTCGGTATTTGTGGCTGCTAGTCCTCGTGGAGTCAAATTACCAGATCAAATCAGTCCGGAAGCAGCAGTATTATTAGCCAAATTAAAAGGCCGTATTTATGCTATTGCTCTTCGTGGAAAATCTCAAGCCGGAAAAAGCACGACATTGAATCGAGTTGCAAAAATGTCAGATTGTCATATTAATACTTTGTTACCAGTGGCGAAACAATTCGGTTCAACAACGACGCATGGAATCTGGATAATGATTGTCGAATTTAAAAATGACGATGCACTTCTATTATTTGATATGCAAGGTACAGATCGTGGTGCTGATGAAATAACATACAAATTAATTGCATATACGGATCATATTTGTACTAAAGTTGTCAATGTATTTCGAATGCCGCAAGAAGGATTTTCAAATGAATATATCGATGCTCTCTATTGTTTAGCCACCGCACGAGAGAGTGTTAAAAATTTAGCTCCAACATCTGATAAAGTCCTCTTGTGGACAAATTGTGTACTACCAAAACAAAGTCCATTTGATGAAAAGTCGTGTGAAACACCAGAAGTATATCAGGCCGAGGTACTCAAGAGTGTAGAGGGAGAACGCAAAATACAAGCTCGAAAAGCTATAAAATATACTGAACAAACACCAATCGTCACATCGAGTAAACCTTCAGACAAAATTCTATCGAAGATTTCGGAGTTGGAGAACGATAATTCGTTTATTCAGAATGACATCGTTCCAGTACTCAAACGTATCCTACATAATGTTCGACCGGTGACCATCAGTTCACATGATATCAAAGGTGGAAATGATTATGTTCAATATCTGAGCAACGTTTATAGCAACATTCTTAAGAGTGACATCAATCTTCCGTTTTGTATCTTACCAATGGTCCGAAATATCGCCACATCTGTTTCGAAAATTCAAGCAGAATGGATGAAAAATCAAATTGAACAACTATTGCCGGTATATTCACAAGATCCTAATTGGATTTCAAATATTCTTATTATTGAGTTGAACGGATTAAAATCGAAATGCATCGAAGCGTTTAAAAGAAAATTGTCCGATTTTCCAGACAGTGCATGGAAAGATCAGCTAGATGATTTGGACTGTTCAATACAAGTTTCCATCAAAAAAGTTATTGACAAATACAGAAAGGATGTTCTAGATCATTTCCTGAAGATAAATCTCCCACGATTAAGTCATGTGTGTACGCTTGGACTTCGAATTGACGAGTTAAAATCACAACTAATCATGAATATGAAGGAAATTGATAAAGAAATCGTCAAGATACCGCTTCTCAATGAAAGTATTACTGACTTGGATCGAAGATTTGTCACACAAGCGCTTGAAATGCACATTCATGATCTGTGTCGCATACAAGAGAATAATGAACGAGATTGGACCGATCGAGAAAGGAAATTTAAGGAAAAAATTTATTCAACTGATCATAGTGGAGTCGATGAAATTATTAAACTACTGATAGGAGAACATATGCATTATTCTGAGCAGCAATTCACAAAGTTCGGTATTATACCTCAACCATTTTTCAATTTGGACATAAAAACCGACGAATTAAAAAAAAACAATAAAGATCAATCGAAGATATTTCCACAAAAATATCGAGAAGAATGCATTGAAGGATTCAAAGCAAAAATTGGATCGATATTCTCTACGAATGCAACTACTCCGGAAAAATATGGCTTTCTACTAATAGATATAGAGTATTGTCTGAAACGTTATTATGAAAAATTGCCATGGCCACTGAACGACGAAACGATTGGTCAGGTTGAAAGTGATCTTCAAGGACTGTGTACACAGGCTCTTGACAATATTTATACACCAGAAGTGATAGAACAATTGAAACGTGATCGAGTGGCCCAAATGGAAGCATTATCCAAACTAAAATTAGCGGAAAACGAGTCTCTTTTATGGGTTCACTGTGTTGGATGTAAACGTATATTTGCTGGCCGAACTGTAGGCTGTGCAAATGTGACGTGTTCTCAGTTTCAAGTCAGTGACACAATGAACACTGATCATGGATGTAGTTTAACGTTCCAGTGGAAAAAAGCACAACCAGTGAAGTTTGATCAGTTGCCGAAAGATATTTGGTTGTTAGACATAGAAGGAGCTAACCGTGGTGACGTTTTTCGAAAGAAAATTCGAGAACTTCAAAGAAAGATTATTTTGGGAGCAGCTAATCTCCCGAAGTTGAAACATAAACGAACTCATAGTCGATAGAGACAATTTTCGCATTTCCTGCATTTATTTTCTTCTTACAGTGCTTAATCTAAGAAGATAACACCTTTGTGTTGGCCAATGTGCATTATGACTTGAAAACCAGAAAATAAAGCTTATTATAGAGATCTTTTACCGACGGGAAAACGCAGCTCCCGGTACCCCCAGGAACCCAGTGAAACCGCTGAAATCCTGTATTTCCGTTATATTAGAGAGCTTACACATGAAATCAGAGAAAAATCCATAACACATTTTAGCCAGTCTCCTGGCGAACACCAACCGAAGGCAGGTGTGAACGTAGTCTTGAATTCAAAGTCATGGAAGGTCGTCCGAGGATATAACGTTCTAAAGTCAAGGGACCGAGCGAGTTTAGAGAGCTTACACATGAAATCAGAGAAAAATCCATAACACATTTTAGCCAGTCTCCTGGCGAACACCAACCGAAGGCAGGCGTGAACGTAGTCTTGAATTCAAAGTCATGGAAGGTCGTCCGAGGATATAACGTTCTAAAGTCAAGGGACCGAGCGAGTTTAGACGAGCGTTACTTAGTATTATAAACTATTTGAAAAAAGAAAAGAAAATCTTCGCTGAAGTTTTTTTCTTTCCAGATAAATGATAACACCTAACTGAATAGAGTGACATCACTATATAGGCATGACATACAAACGTGATATATACATGAAAAAAGAAAAGGATATATATGTCGCAGGAATAAATGAAATGTAGGAGCATTTAAAATATTCCTAGGAATAAATAAAATTTTAATATGAACTAGTTCAACTTAAAATTGATTTATCCCTATAGGAATATTTAAAATATTCCTAGCAAACAAGTTCTTTCACATATTTTAATTATTCCTGCAGGAATAAATAAA